TGAGGAAAATCAATTTATTTCTAACATTTTTGGAACTGAAGGAGGAGCCTTATTGTTTGGTCATTACGTAGTGGAGGGCTTTGTGGCATACGCGTGGGAGCATGCAGGAGAGAGGAGGGACCCACTTTTATAATAACACACTCCCTTCTCAGATAAGCCTCTCCTGCAGCGAGAACATTACCACACTCACGCAGAGTCCTCGTGGTCTAAGCACTGCTTATGAAACTGCATCTCCAACACCGGTGCACGGGAACTAACATTCCAGCATCGAACTTCAGGGATCCGTTCAAATCAAGGGAGTCCTTCGGGAATCGGGGGGGTGAGACTCCTTGGGGAGCTTGTGGGATTATTTTTTTCAAGAGTGATGCAATAGGAACATGTTTCCATCAGCGATTTGGGGTTGCTACTGTCACTGATGGGAGGAGTTCAGGGAGACCAGCAAATCTCAGCACAACCCAGAGATCAAATGTCCCATGTCCCACTGCATCAAGGATGCTGAAAAGCTTTAGTTTTAATTAGCTGAGCCTGGGATCGAACCTAATCTTATTATCAACACCGAGGCTTGTACTCCTTCCCTGCTTTCAATTTCTATTCAATCTTCTAGGAGGGTAGGATTGTAAAGATTATAGGGAAAGTGGTATCTTGTTGAGTGCCTCCCCAGCACTACTCCCCAGTGGAGGAAACCCCATGAGCACTGAAGGGAACTCACTGTTTCTCTATCATCCACACTGGGGACTGAGTAAAAGACCAGTGGTCACCATCAGTGACTCTACAAATATATACAATTGTCTATTACAGCCTCCGCATGCCCAAACGCACAAAGACTGAAACACTTACTAAACACAAGTCATTTTTCTTTATAAGTCAGGAGGGCATAGCATACATTTTGAATTGGTCTCTGCTGTACCACGTGGGCATCATTGTACCAAGTCTGATGGGATTATCAACCACCATCCCAAGGAGGACAATGAGAATGAGAAACCAGGCCTTAATGTGAGTTCTGATTAATTCCACCCCGGAGTTCCAGCTAGACAACGGTGGCCTTGCCAGTTAGACAAAAAAAAAAAAAAAAGTGAGAAGCCAGAAATTCTGGGTAGGCAGAGACTCATCCCCACCATAAATACTAGAATGAGGACTTGCTTCAGGCTGAGAAATTATACAGCAACTGCTCAGCCATCTTTTCACGAGTGACTCATCAGAGCCAAGGGCCCCGATAAAGGTTAAACCATAAGTGAAGAAAATTAGGGCGCTATTGCTATGTAAATACAGTAGCTGTCTTGCTGAAGATTTTCGCCATAGCTAACTCCCCTTCTGTTGCATATTTGGGGATTAATTCTCACAGTTCAGAACAGTCTCCTATGCCGTTGGAGTTTACAAATCACATTCCCTTAGCTACGTGTGATCCTGCTGCTAGGCCCTCCTTCCTCTCTCTGAGGTAAACACTGAGACCTGCCTTCCTGCAGTTATCTTTATCAACAGGCATTTGTTTAGGGTTCAGGCAAAAGCATCCCATTTAAGATATTCTCAGCTATCCAAGGACACAGAATTACTGCTTGCCCAAAGCTGCTGGTTCATAGCTGCTCAGAGAGACAGAAGAATAAGATGCTCTGGTTTTAGCTCACTTAAAAGACTCCTAGCTCCTTATGCTCACCTTCGCCTTAGTTTACTGATGATTTACTGCTTGTGTCTAATTCTCAAGGACAGCAGGAGACATAATTATCTGCGACCCAGAGAAAGACCCACAATGCCCATGATCAGAGCTATTGATAACAGCGTACTCTGGAACTGATAATTTAGAGGCCTGGGTCTACTCTTTGTTTCCTACCACTTAGAGCAATAAGTGTAAACTGCAGATCTAGACCCAGAGAAATTGCAGTGTCTGGTGAACGTGCTGATCAGATCAGAAGCCATTAGCTTCCTTCTGACTGCTTATGTAGGTTGCCTGGTTACCCGGTATCATCTATGCATGCTGGGAGGAAAAAAAAAAAGTGGCACGCTGATTAAAAAAAAAAAAAATCTGTGTCCTATCCATTTTACTCTTTACTAACCACCTAAAAATGTAGTGCAAGGCACTAGCCTTCCCCTCCAGAATTCCCTGATTTAATTTCTTTCTTAACTAACTTTCTCCACTAAGGAGCTCACCAGACACCTTTGAGCTGACAGCCATGGATCTTATTCAGCAGTATGGACGATTTTACACCAGGGGAGTCTGGGAAAAACAGGCAAGAGGTGGAATGCAAGGAATTCTGGGGAATGAGTAGAGACTGGTGAGGAGACAGAGATGGCTCGGACACAACATTGTGGAACTTAGGGTAAAAGAGGGATCGCCCATGGCCATGGGAAGATAAACTGGAAACTGTGCTTCCAAGACAAAGAAGGCACACAGTTCCCTAGTGCGGTCTTCCCTCTTTGGGTAGGCACTAATTCTCTGGACTCCCTCCAACAGCAAGTGAGGAAAAGAAGTCATGATCTCAGGTGCTCCTGGAAGAGGAATCCAGGTGAGATCTGGTCTGGTCCCCAATCAGCATGTGGCATTTCAGAGTGCCCATAAGGTGGATATTACCGCAATTCATGCAATTAAGGTCTAATCTGTGATCTCTAAATTGACCCTTCACATAGCATCTCAAGAGCAAATCATTAGCTAAGAAATGGCGAGACCTGCCCAACTCAGCCTGCTGTAAGGACAAAAGAATAGACTGCTTTAAGAGTACCACACAGAAATTCATCACATCAGGATGAATATGATTAAAAATACATGGTGTGAATTTATCAAAGAATTGATAAAAATAGTTTAAATAAGACTAGTTTTATTTTGACTTTTCCAGAAATTTACACTGAATTTTCCAGAAATGTAGGGTTGCATAAATTAAAGGGAAAGTGGTCCGCTCTCTGACAAAACAGGGGCCCTAGCCTAACTAGAAAATTAAGTGTGGGCACACAGATCTGCAGTCCTGGGCAGTCACCAAGCAGAGTCCTGTTTTACCAGAACCGACCAGTTCCAGCTACTTGCGTTCCTGCCAGGATAGAAGGAAACTGTCACCCAGCAGAGCAATTGTTAACTGATAAAAACACAGATTCTATATAATGCCTGAGAAGGAAGAGGGAGGCTAAAGCACACTGTGCACAATGGGTGTGTGTGTGTGTGTGTGTGTGTGTGTGTGCATGTGTCTGTGTGTGTGTGTGTGCGTGTGCGTGTGTCTGTGTGTGCGTGTCTGTGTGCGCGTGTGTGTGTGCGTGTGTGTTGGAAGGCATAGGTGCTCAACTTGTTTCCCTGGGCAGAAGCCACTGCTACGCTTAAATAAATGTCTACTGGAGATCCCTAATAGCATCTACAATATTCAGTATTATTTTTCACATTTTAAAACTTGTAGGCAGAGGAAAAAAGTCAGTGACGAAGCACTTACTTAGCATAAATGAGGCTCTGGTTCAATCCTCAGTGCTTTGCAAATAAACATCCAATTTGGTTGCTGAGGAGATGGCTCAACCAATGCTACCCCAAAGCGATGGTGGAACTGTCTGGGAAAGATTAGGAGGTGTAGTTTGTTGGAGAGCTGATATTGGGGATGGGCTTTGAGGTTTCAAAAATCCTCACCATTCCGGATGACTATCTCTTCCTCCCTATCTCCAACTTTTGGATAAGATGTAAGCTCTCAGCTACCACTCCTGTGTCATATCTTCCTGCCTGCTGCATGCTCCCCACCATGGTGGTCACAGACTCTGTTACCCTCTGGAACTGTGAGCTTTCTAAGTTGCATTTGTCATGGTGTCTCTTCACAGCGACAGAAAAGTTTCCATAGCAATCACCTTAACGACTTAGCTCTCTCCTCAGCCACTCTTGTATTCTGATTAATCTAACGTCAAAGAAATAAACAACATCATGCTTGTTTATGTCCACTTACATGTCTGTCATGATCATCAAAATTCCCTGCCTTCATCACAAATGGATATTTCAACTGATGTCAGTAATACCAAATTCCATGCAACAGATTTAGTAAGCACTGCATTCACCTATGAAACCACTGAGTAGCATCCAACCAAGGCTAATGCTGGTGTCTTAGCTGCTGTTCTATGATACAAAGAGACCTCATGAACGAGGTGTCGTAGAATATAATTTTAAGATGTGTTACATTTGTTTATGCTGTGGAACATTTGTTTAATGATGCAAAGATGGGTTGCGTTCTTTTATGTTGCATTTGTTTAACTCTGTGAAACTGTGTTATTTTGCCTGCCTAACACACCTGATTGGTCTAATAAAGAGCTAAACAGTCAATAACAAGGCAGGAGAAAGGATAGGCAAGGCTGGCAGGAAGAGAGAATAAATAGGAGGAGAAATCTGGGGAGAAAAAGATCAAGGAGCGGGAAAAGAAGAGACCAGTCACAAAGCCACATGGTCAGACATGGAATAAGAAGGAAAGAAAAGATACACAAAATCGAGAAAGGAACAAGCCCAGAATCTAAAGGTAAACAGGGTTAATTTACGAAAAGCTGGCAAGAAACAAGCAAAGCTCAGGCCAGGCATTTATAAATAATAAGAACTCTCTGTGTGTTTTTACTTGGGGCCCTCCCGAAGAGTAAGGGTAAAACAACCAGCTACACCAAGGCAGCTTACAAAGGACAGCATTTAATCGGGAGACTGGTTACAGTTCCAGAGGGTTAATCCAAGATCATCACTGTGGGAAGCACGGTGGCAGGCAGGCAGGTAGAAACCTCAAAGCCCACCCCCAGTGACAAACCTCCTCTAATAAGATCACACCTCCTCCTCAACCTTCATTCAAAAGTAAGAACCAAGTGGGGCCATTCTCATTCCAACCAACACAGTTGACCAGGATGGTCTGAAATCTGCTCGATGCCTCCGGCCTTCCACATAGCCAACACTGAAGGAATCAGGTGTTCTAATATATATTCAAGGAGAGCTCTGGCCTCTCACGGGGGGATGAGTAGTAACTCGCCTTTGAACAAGACATTAACAGGCGAAAGGAGGAAGGAGACACCCAACTCACCGTAGAAGAGGAAGGCCTTGGTCATGTGATGCTGTTGGAAGGTCCGGTTGATGGTGAAGAAGCAAGCGTCTGCCCCACACTGGCCCAGCCTGCCAGTCTCCCCTGTCAGTGGGGACCACCACAGCACAATGGGGTAGCTCCCAACGTCCACTGTGTTCTTCACACCCAAGGCTAGCGCTTCCTTTTCAGGAAATGGGTGGAGACGGTGAGGCTCTTCCTCCACTTTTTTATGTCCATCTTGCAAATTGGAATTTTTAAACTTCTTCCTTTCAAATCTTCCAAGCTCAACCACGACCTGAGAGCGAAGACAACTGTTATCAGAATTTGATGCTTCCATTTCATTCGACACAGCTCTCACTGACAAAGATTTAGCTTCCTGTCAGTTTTCTGTAACAACATACCACAAATCCTTTAAAATAACACACTTACAACCTCACGGTTCTGGAGGGCAGAAGCTAGAGACGGGCACATAGTCTAAAATCAAAGGGCCAGAATAGCTACATCCTCTACAGAGCCTGCGGGACAGTACAACCTCTTGCTTTTTCTTTTAGGCATAGCTCACAATGCTTATTTGGCTCTCGGTCCCATTTTCAATCTTCAGATCTATTGCTACCACTCCTCTTGCTCCTGACACTGCCCCCTCTGTGAAGAAATCCAGGAAAGGCTCTCTAGTTTTAATGACCTGTGTGATTACCTTCGACCTCTGTGGACAATTCTGGATAACCTCCTGTCTTGTTCCATTGGGTACTGCTATAACAGAATACCTGAAGCTGGTAATCTCTAAAGAATAAAAATTTGTTTCTCAAAGCTCTGGAGACTGTGCTGTCCACGTTGAGGAGGCCGACAGAAGGAAAGGGACAGGAAGGGTTGTGGCGTAGCTCAGTGCTGGAATGCTTGCCCCATACACTAGCAGCCATGGGCTTCATCCTGGCACATACCCTCCACTAAAGACATTATTTTAGAGCCAGAGCGATGGTATATACATGTGATTCTGGCACTTAAGAAGCTGAGGAAGAGGTTGGGTGGTGGTGGCTCAAGCCTTTAAACCCAGCACTCAGGAGGCAGAGGTGAATCTCTATGAGTTTAAGGCCAACCTGGTCTGCAGAGCAATTTCCAGGACAGGTTCCAAAGCTACACAGAGAAACCCTGTCTCAAAAAACCAAAAACAAATAAAAAAGAAGCTGTGGCAGTAAGATACCAAGTTCAGGGTCAACATGGGGTACAGAGTGAGATTTTTTTTTTTTTTCGAGACAGGGTTTCTCTGTAGCTTTTTGGTTCCTGTCTTGGAACTAGCTCTTGTAGACCAGGCTGGCCTCGAACTCACAGAGATCCACCTGCCTCTGCCTCTGGAGTGCTGGGATTAAAGGCGTGCGCCACCACCGCGCTGCCAGAGTGAGATCTTATACCAAAAAAGGGAAGCAAGAAAGAATCAAATTCATCTTTTTATCAGCAAACTGCTCCTATGATAGCGCGATTCCATTATAATAGCACCAATATTAATAATAATAGTGTCCACAAGAGGACACGCACCCAGTAACCAAGGGCAGCTCCTTTTCAATGGGCTTGCTACGCCTGGCGTGAGAAAAGAGCCACTGACCACCACCACACATCACCTGGAGTCCATAACTCCCCTAAGGAAAAGGTAAAACTTCGACTAGATTCTCAACAGTACCCAGGCCAACTAAGATGTTAGGACCTCCTCTATGAAAGCCAACTGATATTCCAGAAGACTTAAAAAATACATTAGCTTTAAGGGACTGAAACCAAGTCAGCCCTTGCCAAGAGCTTCCTTGGCACTTTTATAATGTAATAACATGGCTCTTCCCCCAAAGCTTGATGGGGGGAAGTTAATTTACAGCCCCAGACCCCTCTCTTCATCTGACCTTCCTTCTTACTAATGTACAACCAGCAACTTAAGGAAAAAGAAAGAAAAGACTGTCAAAACTCCATGAGCCCCTAGAACAGGAGTGAGTTTGAAGTTAGCCTGGGCAGGAGAGACAGGGACAGGGACAGATCTACCAAACCAGTCTCAAAAAGAAAAATGATCCATATTTGTTAGAGAAAAAAGAAAACCATACTGCAAGAGTCTAACCCCGGCCCGCGAGTGGACTCCAGCAGCATGCCATGCGGCCAGGGTAGGTAAAGCTCAACCAGATGCATCTACCAAGAGCCTGCCTGCACCTATAATAGACTCTTTGTGATAAGGAAGCATGGTCCAGCCTAGCATCACAGTGAACTGAGTGGGACAACAGGAACCAAATTCAGGCCTGGAGCTGTCTGCCCCGGGCTTTGAGGAGAAGACATGGGCCCACCTGGCACCTTGCAGCACCTGTCAGATGGGCACGATGTGAGTGAGCAGAGGTATGGAATGCTGTAGTAAGGGAGGGACAGGGAGACAGACAGACAGACAGGCTGGTTCATGGCCTGTGGACAGAGGCATAGCTGATGAGGTGAGAGAGGAAGGGAGCGGGCTGAGGGGAGTGGCTTGATTGCTACCCAGGGTCAAGATGATATCCGGCCTGAGCTGCTGCTGGGACTCACGGCTGTGTTCCTGGCTTGACAACCATGGTCTGTTGATGTTGCTGGCCTCTGACGCCAACCAAAGCGGAGAGGCCAGAGCTATACAGAGCTGGCCTCAGGCTGTTACCAAGGTTACTAGTTGCTCTCCACAAACTGGTGGTGAGGCCCTACTGCTGAAAATGCACTCCCTTATGTCATTGAACACTGAGACATCCATCTGGAGATCAACAAGAAGCTTCACCCCTATTGAATAGCATCCACAGTGCTAGAAGGTGCTCTGCATACTATCAGAGGAGAAAAGGAATGATCAATACCAGCCAGCTACAAACCCTGCAACCTATACCAGCTACCTACCTGAGTGATATAACGGTTCAACAGTAGCACAACAGTTATGGTAGTAACTGATCGGTTTCTGATTGGATGTAAGGCCCACTCCTTAAATAGAACTGCTGAGACTCCTAGGGTATCCAAGAACAGACTGGATAGATCACAGGCCTACAGGCAAACTATGAATACTATTGTCCTGCTAAAGGAACAAATAAAATGACTCCTAATGCATCCTTTTACACCAATAGATCAGGGCCTTACTCAGTCCGGCTTAGAGACGCTTCTTCTTGCAGTGTGTGGCAAGCAACACAGAATCCGATGACTGGACAGTGTGCAGAGAGTGAGAGACTTTGGAACCCTCGGTTCTAAACGGGATGTTATCATCAAACCTCTCACATCAGGGGTCAGGATCTCCGTGGAAGAGGAGGCAGAAAGAGCCAGAGGTAATGGCATCTACCACACAAAACAGTACTGACGCCCATATGGACTCACAGAGACCGTAGCCGCATGCACAGGACCTGCACAGAGTCAAGCAGATGCTGTCCCAGCACTGAGACAGGAAACTGGGCTCTGGCTCCCATCCCTGACTAAGACGCTATCTAGACATGATACAACCTGGCAAAGGAAAAATCAATTTTCTCCAATGGGGTGTCAGGGGATGGATCAACCACACTGCATGGCAGGCTCCAGGCCAACCCAAAAACGCTCCATTTTTTTTCTGTGGGCTCTTTGTTTCATTTTGACTTTTTTGGTCTTGTTTTTGTTTGTTTTGATTTTAGTTTTTGTGTTTCTCTGCTTTTTTTAAGAGAGAGAACAAAGAGCTGGATAGGTAGGAATGAGTGGAGAAAAGTTGGAAGAGAGGAAAAACATGATCAAAATATATATATGAGAACAATTTTAAATAATTTTTTTTTTTTAAAATGACTGAACGTGGTGACGTACGACTGTAGTCACACACTTGGGACACTAGAGGCAGGAAAATGAGATTTTCAAGATTACCTTTGAATACGTTATCAATTCTGAGGCCCACCTGGACTACATGAGACAATTCTAAAAAGAAAAAGAGAAAAAGAAAATGTTCTCCTAAATGGGCCTGGTGGCTCCTTCCTTTAATCCCAACACTTAGGAATCAGAAACAGAAGTATCTGGAGTTCCATACCATGCTGGTCTACACAGCAGAAACCTAGACACCTAGACACACACACACACACACACACACACACACACACACACACACATGCACACACAGGAAAATAAGAGAAGAAAAACGGAACTAGGGTATTCTCTTTTGTATTGTGTAGCATGAGCTCAGGATGCAGAAAAGATAAGCAGACAGCAATTACTCAGAGTTCTCTGAGGAAAGGGAAGGGAAGTGGGGAGGAAGGGGCTGCTAAGGGCCTAGCAACGAACCCACTCTTCACAGCCCGGATTCCCAGTACCTGCAGTGTGACCATCAGAAAGACGGTAGCAGTCATGCACAGACAAGATGCCAGAAGCTTCTGCCTCTGAATCCGCACCATGCTGCCCTGTCCCGGATGACTGAGAGAGGGCTGGCCTGGCTACCAGGTGTCCTCCAGTCAGCCCGCAGCCAGAGACAACTTCACATAGAGGAACCATCTGGGTGCCAATTTCCTGCCAGGAGCTGGTCTCCATGAAGGACTGAGATCCAAGGTTCAGGATAGGTCCAGCTTGGCGCTGGGAAGGAACAGCATGCCGTCTTCTCAGGCTATTATCAGAGCAGTCGGAGTCCTCAGACACAGCGCCATCCAAAAACACTGCAACAAATGAATAATCTTTTAGTCTTATGAGCTGATCGACACAGGTTTAGTGCATAAAAGCACTGAAGGAACCTTTTAGATCAGATCATATACCTCACTAAACTGAATACCTAATCACGCATATGCCTAACACCTCACTCAGAAAGAAAGTAGCTGAGACCAGAATGGTTACCTAACTTGCCTAAGGCCACACAGCCCCATCAAATCCCATGTCTTGGGGGCTGGAGAGATGGCTCAGAGGTTAAGAGCATTGCCTACTCTTCCAAAGGTCCTGAGTTCAATTCCCAGCAACCACATGGTGGCTCACAACTGTAGTAATAAGGGCGGCGGGGCTGCGTCCCCAGCACCCTGGCTCTCTGGCTAGCTCATGCCCGAAATAACAACACACAAACTGTATTCATTTAATCACTGCTTGGCCCATTTCTATCTAGCCTCTTCTAGGCTAATTCTCACATATTAATTTAGCCCATTTCTAATCATCTGTGTAGCGCCCCTAGGTGCACTTACCGGGAAGATTCTAGCCTATGTCCATCCTGGGTCGGAGCTTCATCGCATGCATCTGCCTGGGAGCTGGGAGCATGGCGTCTCTCTGAGGCGTCTGCTCCCGAGAGGAGAGCTGTGGAGTCTGAGCTCACTTCCTCTTCCTCCCAGCGTTCTGTTCTGTTTACTCCTCCCACCTATCTTCTAACCAATGAGGGCCGAGCAGTTTCTTTTTATTTAACCAATGACCTTCCTCCACCACACAACCATCCATAATGGGGTCTGGTGCCCTTTTCTGGCCTGCAGGCATACACACAGACAGAATATTGTATACATAATAAATAAATATTTTAAAAAAAAATCCCATGTCTCGAATCTTCCCCTAATTTCTCTGCCATTAGAAGACTGGACTTGAACCTAGAGTGGCTCCCAGGAGCCCAAGGCGATGTCCCCAGTTAGTTCCTTGGACAGCTGAGGATAGGGAACCTGAAATGACCCTAGCCTACAGCAATACTGACGAATATCTTGCATACCACCATAGAACCCTCATCTGGTGATGGATGGAGATAGAGACAGAGACCCACACTGGAGCACCAGACTGAGCTCCCAAGGTCCCAATGAGGAGCGGAAGGAGGGAGAACATGAGCAAGGAAGTCAGGACCAAGAGGGGTGCACCCACCCACTGAGACAGTGGAGCTGATCTATTGGGAGCTCACCAAGGCCAGCTGGACTGGGACTGAAAAAGCATGGGATAAAACCGGACTCTCTGAACATGGCGAACAATGAGGGCTAATGAGAAGCCAAGGACAATGGCACTGAGTTTTGATCCTACTTCATGTTCTGGCTTTGTGGGAGCCTAGCCAGTTTGGATGTTCACCTTCCTAGACATGGACGGAGGGGGGAGGACCTTGGACTTTCCACAGGGCAGGGAACCCTGACTGCTCTTTGGACTGGAGAGGGAGGGGGAGAGGAGTGGGGGGAGGGGGAGAAGGGTGGGAGGAGGGGGAGGAAAATGGGAGGCTGGGAGGAGGCGGAAACTTTTTTTTCTTTTTCTCAATAAAAAATTTAAAAAAAAAAAAGAAGAAGAAGAAGACTAGACTCCAGGGTTACTTAGATGAAGTCACTTCTTAACCAGGTCTCAAAGGAGTAAGAAATAGACCACATGCCCACTTCTGAAAAGGGTGGAGGAAAAAAATAATGAAGGCTCAGGCTCTGGTTAAAGATGAAACAGTGATGAACTGAAGAAACCAACCAGCACAGGGGGGGATTCTGCTTACTGGGTTATCTGCTGAGTCTTTTGTGGGAAGTACAAGAAAGCAATGGATGTGGGCAATAAGATTTCAATAAGATTTTCATGAATCTGAACTGGCTTTTTTTTTTTTTTTTTGGTGTTTTGAGACAGATCCTCATGAAGCCAGGCTGGCCTCAAACTCACTGGTGTAGCCAAAGACAGCCTTAACCTCTGATCCCTTCCCCACCCGATTCGACCTCCTAAATGATGAGATTATAGGCGTCCATTAACATGCCCAGATTTATGGGGTATTAGGAATAAAACCCAGGACCTTGTGCATTTGAGGTGAGCAGCGTATTAACTGAGTTACCTTCCCAACCTTCTCAGGAGAGAAAAACAAAACCTCTTAAAAGGCACAGGATGGTAACCATGAATGCCTTTTACCTGATATGCCGTAACTCCAACATCCTGGGCAAAGTTCTACGGGGGCAGAACTGGAGCAGGACTGGAGGACACTGTATGTCAAAGGCTGGATTCTAAGTCTGAGTCACATGTCTCCAGGATGCAGAAATGGAGATGAACTAGAAAGATAATATTGGAACAGAGATCAGGAGACGGCCTGTATCTTAACAGCATGCTCCTCTCTCATGACTGTTTTATTTTGGTTTGTTTTTTGTGTGATGTCCTTGTGTCTGTTTGTGAACTCATGTGTGTGTGTGTGTGTGTGTGTGTGTGTGTGTGTGTGTGTGTGTGCATGAACCAACAAAGGACATAGAAGACACTGGATACACTGGAGCTAGGGTTATAGGAAGGCTGTGGGCCACCCACTGGATTGGGCCACCCAATCCACAGCAAGAACTCTTAACTCCTGAGCCATTTCTCAAGTCCCTCTATTGACTGATTACTAAATTTAGGATAGATTGTTAAGAGCCATAAGAACAGGAAGTTGGCTGTGAGACTGTGTCTCTCAGAAATGTGAGGGATAAAAGTCTCACCAACATGGCTGCCTAAACATGACCTGAACAAAGACAGTACCAATATACATGCTAGCATAGAAGGGGAAATCTCATAGGGTCCCAACCCCAAAGAATTACAGTAGGCAAGCAAGGAATTCTGGGAACAGGAGAAATGGTGTTCCCCATGGAAGAGTCCTCAAATTGATTATACAGTACCAAGTGGTCAGCCCTATTCATGCTGGTAATATTATACAGATTGAGTTGGCTTTATATATGTGTATGTGTATACATACATATATTTATGCACACACATGTATAACAATTTTTAAAAGGCCATAAATTTGAGAGAGAGCAGGGGGATCTATGAGAGGGGTTGAGGGATAAAGGGGAAGGGGATAATGATGAATTATGTGCACATGTAATTATATTATAATCTCAAAAACTTAGTCTTTTACAAAATCATAACTCTGGCAAGTACTACAACCAGAAACCACTTTAGCTCTGAAATTTCTGTATTCTTTCCTAGTTTTGAACCTTAATGCTATAAAAGTCACACTAAATGATGCTACCACAGAGAACAAATGAGTCTGTGTAGAACAGTTGTCATTTGATGGGGCCAAGGGTCTAGGAACCTCAGAAGTGCCCTGCAGGATTCTATTCAGCACCTATTAATAGCTATTAGCTACATAAGATGTGGACCTAGCACTTTGAATCCCAGGTTCGGGTCTGCCATTCAGACTGTATAAATTTGGGGAAGTGACTAAGTATTTCTGATCCTCATTGGATTCACTGTAAGTAATAAACCTCATCCTTTCCCCTGCATGGTAGAGAGGGTATTAAACTTTCATTGTATGTGCAAAAGTAATTTACTATAGCTATAATTAATATGACACAGATTAGGTAGTGAACTATTAGCACCTTAGATGAGAATAAAACTACACCACCTCAGCCAGCAAGATGGCTCAGTGGGTAAAATGATTTATCATGAAAAGCCGCCAACCTATGTTCGATCCCTGAACTCGTGGTGGAAGACCAGAAACAACTTCCAGAAAACCATCTTCTGACCTTCACAGGTACCCGCTGGCACACGCCGCCGCATTCACCCCACGCCAATCACATACACAATCATATAAACCATTAAAAGTCAATTTAAGACTGTAACATTTTCTGAAGAGTTTTAAATCGGTAACTTCGTTTAATATTACTTGTAACCACCTTGGGAAAACAAGGTGGGTATTATTAATTCCAGTTATAACAAAACTAAAGTTAAGCCTCACTAAATTTAAGCAGTTGGTCTGGGATCATACTTTTAGCAGTGGGTCTAAATCAGGTCACCTGACTCCAAGATCAATAGAAAGGAAAGAGACAGCAGAAACAGTGGCGGCTTTAGGACAAACAGGAAGGTCGAGAGTAAAGGAAAACAGAAGGTAAAGATTCTGAAACTAGCTTGGGATATATGTATAACTAAGATCTCAGGATGACTGGAGGGCCTTTTTGCAATTTTTAATCGGTCATATCAACTACTAACAAATAATTCAAGAGTACAAATTCCCTTGCATGTAGAGAACCTCAAGTTAGTTTCCTGCCGAAGCCAGGAGTGTAGGAAGGTGTCAGGAACCTGGCTGTGATTAAATATTCACCACCGAGGAGCAGCCTTTAGTAGCTGAATTACACTCTCAGCAACCTGCCAGGCCTTAGGGTACATTTACAATAATAGCACTCAATCTAACCCATGCTAGGAATTAGCCAGGAGCGTGTCATCAAGTCCTAAGTCCTCCAGCTGGTGAGGACAGGTGGACCCACAGAGAGTACCATGAAAGCCCTCAAGCTCCAGTGTAATGGCACCCCAAGAGGAGGAGGCTCCCTGTGTTTCTGTTTCATCTTTGCCTCCCGGGTGAACCTGAGTCATTCAGGACAATGCCCCGTAATATTCTTTTCCTGGGCAGAGGAATGTATCTTTTTATAGGCCGCGGTCTGTAATGTCTAAAATGGTCTCTAACTAACCAACTCCTAACTCTAAGAGCTGAGCTGAGCCATGCATGGCTGGTGTACACTACCCAGGGTTGCCCGTCTCGTTGGTATTCGGGTATCTCTACTGGCCTGCTCTTGCGGTTCTCACAGGATACAAGTGCTCAGCTGCAGCCACTAAGAGCACCTGTCTTGAAAGCAAAACAAATGAACAAAAATCTCTAGTACACCCCTTAAAGTGTGGCCGTCCTTAGAAAGAAATGTCATGGTAGGCTGGCAGGAATGTGTCTTATTTTCAAGCACTTTTTACTGCCTCCTTTCAACTACACCACATCAAGACCCCTTATTTATCCCGATGGTGGTTGCCCTCAAAGCCCCAAAACTGGTGCTCTTTCCAGCCCCAGCCCCTTGGATTCTGCACTCGGCTAAGTATAAATTAATGTCCTAGAATGAAAATCTTACTGAAGTCTGTGCATGCCTTTGCAAAGGTTCTAAAAAGAGGCTCAGTATGGGGTAGATCACCTGCCCACCATACACAGGACCCTGTGCTTCATACCTAACATGGAAAAAATAACATGGATGTGTACCCACTTTATTTCTCTAGTTTACTCCCTGGTCTCCACCTCGAGGTCTGTGTTCCTGCTGCTCCCAGAATGTAACTTGCCTTTTCTGTACTGCTGAACCAACTTTGAACACCAGTACCTCTTGGGAAATGTTGTAGACATTCTAGACATTTCCCAAGACTTCTGGGGGTGGGGAGGGGCTATGGACTGAACTAAGGACTTCAAACACACTAATTAGGCAAATGATCTACCACTGACCTACATGATGGGAATTATTTTTATTTCCCTTTTTGTTTTTTGTTTCTTTTATTTTTGTGGTTTTGTTTTGTTTCTGTTTTGGAGACAGGGTTTCTCAGTGTAGCTCTGGTTGTCCTGGAACTTGCTCTGTAGACCAGGCTGGGCTCGAACTCACACAGATCCCTGTGCCTAGGCCTCCAGGATGCTGGGATTAAAGGCGTGCCCAGCTCTGTTATCCTTTTTAGTAATTCAGTATTTCTTTCTGAAAACTAAGGTTTTACATAAGCTTTTTCAAAAAGTATTTAGAAAGCATGTCAATTAGAATAAGCTTAATGTTTCCTTTTTCCAAAGCCCATTTCGGGAATGCTCCCTGTATTCACTAAGTGTTGTCACTGTAAGGAAAACAAAGCCTGGCAGCAGCAGCTTACAGGAGGAAGGACTTACTTTGGGTTCCATTTCAAAGGATTTCAGTTCATCCTGCTGGAGAAGGATGGTGGATCAAATAGCTCCCTCCGTGGTAATGGAAGTATCAGGTGGTGAGTGTTCCCACAAATCAGAACCAGTGGCTAATATAACCGTCACAGTCCACCCCTAGGCGCTGTAGGACCCAGCCATGACGAACTCAATAGAGGCTTGAGTCTCAGTAGTTTACCCTGAGGCAATATCTGTTTCCCATAAAGACCATAAACTGAGACCACAAAGGCACCACCGAGGAACAGACCACCCAAAAGAAATCCCAACCATTGTAGATAGAGTCACCTGCCAACACATACCCATTGCTTTTCACCAGGACACCTCCAGACAAATGTCAGCCAATCAGGGGTCCTGAATCTTAGAAATCCCTCACCCCCATCTTTGCCACTATAAAAACCCAACTCCAACTGAGCTGGGGCTCTCCAATCAGGACAATAGTTGGACACACGGAGAGTCCAAGGTCAAACTTGAATCAATGCTCTTTGCTTTTATACAGGGTTCGGTCTCCTAGTTGGTTTTGGGGAGACTCCATGATCTGGGCATAACAGTCACCTCCTTCCATCACTGAGGCCACGCCTCCTAAAGGCTCCACAACCTCTCAAAACAGAATCATCAGCTGAGAACCAAGTGTACAGACATGAGCCTGGGGGAGAGGGTGTTTGGTGTAAAACGATGAGAGCTGAGTGAAATGCGACATTTCTTGGGAAAATCAACTCTACATAACTATAAAAGCACTTAAATACAGGCTGGGAAGGTTTTTGTACAATGCCAAATTTATACATACATGTAACATGGACCAAATTATAACCTTTTCCTCTATTTCCTAGATATAATCCTAAGGAGGGGGGCTGTGAATGTTGTTTATAAGAGCAAACTTGGGAACTGCTTTACTTTGGTCCTTGAAGAATACAAAGTGAGCAATAACACAATAACAATGGAGTCTTTGATTCACTATTAGACACTGCCATCTAGCAGGAAAGCAGATGAGTTATTACAATCTCCGAATTTTAACACACCTTATTGGTCATCTGATGCACTGCCTTTGGCTTAGAGGCAAGAGAGGGGTTCTGGATTTCTATTTTGTTTTTTTTTTCTTTTCTTTTCTAAGACAGCATCTGGCTCCATAGCCTGGGCTGGCCTCTAAATCGCTTTCTCCCACCTTGGAATCCAGAATGAGCGTAAGAGACACAGGAAACAAGAAATAAAAGGACACCGCTGCTCCTGGGTATGGTGGAGGAGAAGGTTTACTGTCGATAAGAGGAAGCATAGTCAGAGGCAGGGACATCTGAGAGTCCAGAGTGGACGTGACTGGCAGGCTGAGCCACGTGGGGAGAGGAGGAGAGAGGGGAGAGACAGGAGACCAAGAGGCCAAGAGGGCTGCCATAGACAAATGGCTGAGTTATATGAGGAAAGGGGGCTGGAGGAGGGTAGCCTAGACCAGTCCCCAGGCTGGAGAAGTTTAGGGTAGGGGTAGTGTATTCTAGCCAGATGGATTCTCTAATAGGTTGGGACTGAGGGATGCTGGGAGAGTCTGGCAGGCCACCAGCATACGCTTTGATGTGTTCATGGACACCTCAGGCGATTGTGAACTACAAGAGTCTCAGAAAGCATTTGAGGGACAGGCATAAGACAGAGACTATGGTGCTGTCTGTATTGGGGGATGGAAACTCGAGTGTTCAAACACTTGAGCTGTTTATTCAAGTCAGACATCAATCCAGGCCCTGCCTGAAGGAACTCCATCTGAGAGTATGATGGGCCAAAGAAATGCAAGACTAGAGTTTGTGGTATGACATCTCTGGCCCAAGCTTGTACGGAGTGCATCACTTCATCTGAGAGAAAAGAAGCTACATTTGAAAACATTAAGGTCCTGAACAGGTTCTGCATCTTATGATACGACATGAGTCTCATACTGAGCGCCCTAGCTGGGTACAAAAGTCCTGAAAAACAACTTGTGTGTAGATAATCAAAGTCAGCTTCTGCAGAGAATCTTCCAAAGAATTACTAAATGCACAAAGTTTCCACCTCAGGAAAGGCAAAACTGCTACTCGCTGGGCACAAGATTCTTGCAAAGGAAGCTGGGCTGCTGCCCCGGCCCCGCCAGGAAGAGCACTAAATCACACCCTCAGGATACCATGCTCCTCCTCCCTGCTCCCCGAACCCAAGGCTCCGGTGCTTTCAAAGGCCAGATCAGCTTGCACCCCAGTTTCTGACTTGAAAAGCGGTTTCTAGGCTCTCCCAACAGACATGGGCTCTTTGCCTGGGCCCAGAAAATTGTTTTCTCTTACACTCCGCTTCCGCAGAGCAGCGGTGTCCTTCAGCTAGCACCAGCAGGCGCCCAGTCTCCGCCAGCCCAGAAGACTCACCTTAGGCTTCCGAGAATCAAAACAAATCCCCATCAACGTACTTCAACCAGCCTCTGGGGTGCACGACGCTCGGTGCACCCCAGAGTCCTCATTTTCTATCTAGGCTCCAGAGCTCTCCCGAAGACCCGGAAAAATGGAATGGCAGGCGCAGCTTCAGGATCACCCCGCCGCAGTTAGTTTACAGAATCCAGAATCCACGATTTCATGGGTGCTTTGTTTAAAAACTCCCGGTCTCTACTTCAAAAAAACTTTGGACCGCCCCCTCACCCGCGTACCACAGGACCGAAGGCTCAAGAATCCCTCACTCACGTCCTGAAAAGTTTGGAAAGTTCTCTATAAAAGTCCCCTGGAGCTGCTCTTCTAGAGGACCCGGGTTCAATTCCCAGCATCCACATGGCAGCTCACAACTATCTCTAACTCCAGGATCCAACACCTCACACACACATACATGTAGGCAAAACTCCAATGCACACAAAATAAAAATAAATTATATATCTTTTTAAAAAGCTTCTCAAGAAAGGAAGACTCATGAGACAAGTAGGGAGATGGGGAGGGGAGGGGAAGTGACACGGGAAGAGGGAAACCAGGTGCAGCAGCCCGGAAGCCCAAAGGTACAAAGAAAGCAGCCACCCAAATGTTTGAATTATATTGGGAAGGACAGTCCTGGGCTAGAGAAGTTTAGCGTAGGTAGTGGGGTAAGTCATTTAGGAGGGCCCAGTAACAGATAGGGACTGAGGGATTGCCGGGAGAGCATTGCTGCCAGGTCCTCTCTGATGTGTTAAAGAGGCACCTCAGCCTCTTTAAGTGTTAGGTTTGAAACCTAACACTTTTAAAGTCTCAGGAAACTGCCCTCACTCTCTCAGAGGACAGAAACACAAAGTCAACTATCAACTAAATTAAACCAAAGCACCCAGCAGGGGTTTGCTATGGGCTCAGTGTTTTAGATGCCCGCACATTCCTGGTGCCCATGGTGTTGGGAGCTGGGACACCTTGGTGACTAATGAAATTTGACCCCTTATGAAAAGGTAGGGGCGCCCACTTCAAACTATCAGCTTAAGCATTCAGATCCTAACAGGTATGTTACACAGCAAGACTAATTGAAAAAAAAAAAAAAAAAAAAAAAACAGCATCTGAATTTTTCTGTTTGTTTTTTGCTTTTGGAGACAAAGTTTCTCCTGGCTGTCCTGGAAATCCCTCTGTAGACCAGGCTGGCCTGGAACTCAAACTCACCCAGTAGACCAGGCTGGCCTCTGCCTCCTGGTGCCGGATTAAAGACATACAATGCCCAGTTTAAAGTAGTCTGTGTTGTTGTTGTTGTTGACAAGACCACTGTGGCACTGGCCTTGCGACAATGTGGTGCCCAAAGGCTGAGAAAGGTGCCTGAGTCAGAAACAGCCTCTTTAACTTTTCTTCCCCGATGAATAAAGGATCTCTCTGTGCAAACAGGTGTTTGGATGTGGTTTGTGCCTAATCCAGGGGCCAGGAAGACGCCTCGGTTATGCAGGAGTCCCCATCAGTACTGGTTGGGAGTGTTTGTTCCTTTTGTCAACTTGGCACAAACTAGAGTCAATCAGCAGGAGAAACCTTAACAGAAAAGATGCCTCCACTATATTGGCCTGTAAGCAAGCATGGATGTATGGGATGGGGACAATGCATTTTCTTGATTAATGATTCACGTGGAAGAGCCCAGTCCACTGTGGGAGGTGCCACCCCTGGGAAAGTCCTGGGATCTATAAGAAAGGTAGCTGAATCCGAGCCAGAGAGCAAGCCAGTAAGCAGTATTCCTTCATAGCCTTTGCTTCAGCTCCTATCTCAAAGTCCTGCCCTCTCTTCCCCTCACAATGGACTATAAGCTGTAAACTGAAATAATCCTTTACTCCCCAAGTTGTTTTTGGCCATGGTGTTTTATCCCAACAACAGAAAGCCAACTAGAACAAAAAGAAAGAAAATTGTTGTAAAAAGCTGTAGAATCTTCATGATGCGTTGTGTCGTTATTAAATATGAGGTAAACTCTCTGCTGTAGCCACTGTCCACATACGAAGCACACACACTGAGCTTTCTATACCCTTAGATGGGTAGGTAACCTTGCCCAATGGTATAGCTACATCCTGGATGGGGGCGGGGACTCTACAGACGAAACTTCGAAGAAATAAAAAGGAAGTATCAAAATTTATAAAACTGTAAAATAAGTCTGGACTGAAGCTTGATTAATAAAAACCCAGAGATAGAAACTGGGGTTCAATCTGAAGGTCAGAAAGCAAAACAGCCAGCCACTGGCTCGTACCTCAGTCCAAAATGGCGATCCCGCCTCCAGGAGTTTCAGAATGGGGCTGTGAGTGAGAACTGTCTCCTCTAATACTCCTGTCCAGTGCTGGGATTAAGGGCGCGCACCACTAGGCCAGAAAAGCAAAACTGGACTCTTCTCGAGGATGTCCTGCCTGAGAAAGAGGTGAGGCTGGAGATTCTTCGTTAAGACGCTACAAGCCCAGTGCAGCGCATGGCAGGTGCTTTCGGTCAGAAACATGTCTCCCTACTTCACAACACCCTAACATGCCCGAGGTAATCAACCTCAAATCCAGAGAGTTTTATTTGAAAAAGGAAGGGAGGAAGGGAGGAAGGGAGGAAGGAAGGAAGGATCCAGTTTTTGTCAGATAGAGTAAATTTAAAATCAAGAGGCTGCACAGTGTGCTCACCATGTTTTTTAGTCTCACACGGTGAAAAAACGCACCCAGCTGGGATGTAAAGGGCTGAAAGGAGCACTGGGCTGCCGAAGGGCACGGCTTTAATCCCAGCACTCACTCTGAAGGCACAATTAGGCAGATCTTTTAGTTTGAGGCCAGTCTGGTCTACAGAGTGAGTTCCAGGACAGTCGGGGATACACGGAGAAAAACAGTCCATCCTGACTATTGTCTTTATAGCAGCTCTCTCTGCCACAGCTTTTCTCCAATGGCACTGAGCCTTTTACCACAGAAGAAATGAAGCCAACATGAGGGCCTATGGGTATAAGCCAGATGGGGTCCCAGTGCTGAGACTGGACGTGAACACAAGTCCCCACTCCTAACCCAGAAGATTAACCACTCGCAAAGGAAAAGTTAGTTTTCTCCAACAGACTCTTATTGGGCACACAAACCACAGACTGCTGCCCAGGGTTGGCAGTAGATGCCCAAAATAAACTGAACTCAGTAGAATTTTGGCAGGTTTTATCTTACAATGCTTTGTTGTGGTTTGGGGTTTTTGTTTTGTTTTGTTTTGTTTGTTTCAAGACAGGGTTTCTCTGTCTAGCCCTGTCTGCCCTAGAACTCATTCTGTAGACCAGGCTGTCCTCAGACTCACAGAGATCCTCCTGCCTCTGCCTCTCAAGTGCTGGGATTAAAGGCCTGTGCCATCACCCCCAGCCGGGCATTTTGTTTTTAACCTTACAAACCTTTTGTCTCTATATTATCATTTCCTATTTTACTTTTATAGATTTTCTGTGTGTGCAAATATGTGTGTCTCAGAGTCCGTATGTGTTTCTTGTGATTTTTCTTTGGGCTTTTTTTTTTTCCCGTTTATTTGTTTTGTCCTGTCCTGGTTTGTTTGTTTTTATTTTATTATTACTATTTTAATATTACTATTTTAGATATCTGTTTTCTATTCTAGTGAGAGAATTGTGGATTTGGTGGGTGGGGAAGTGGGGAGGATCTGGAAGGAGTTGGGGGACAGCAAACCATAATCAGAATACGTTAGATGAAAATATCTATTTTTAATAAAAAAAAACAAATATCAAAACAGATAAACAGATGAACAGAACAGTACATGGTAATCACATATAATGGAATACTACGCTGTCTCCACCTTGTAGCCCAGGCTGGCCTTGAACTCACTGTGCTTCCCAAGAGGGCCTTAAACTATGGCAATCTTCCTGCCTCAGTCTTAAAGTCCTGAGATTGTAGGTGATCCCATCATGCCCAGCTATTATTTGAAGTTTTGGTTCTAAGTCTTAGCCTTTAACAACCAAGCTTTCTCTCCAGCCCAATTATTCAGATTTTAAAGGAAATGAGATTTCAATACATGCTATAAAATAAAATAAAAAATAGTATATAAGTCTTTTTTAAAAAAAAGTCATAGGAACATAAAATAAAATTTCTGGTGTGTGGATTTCAGAGGGGACTAGGGATATTTTGTTTAACAGACAATGTCACTTTTTTTTTAAAATTTATTTATTATGTATACAATATTCTGTCTGTATCCCTGAAGGCCAGACGAGGGCGCCAGACCTCTTCACAGATGGCTGTGAGCCACCATGTGGTTGCCGGGAACTGAACTCAGGACCCCCGGAAGAGCAGGCAATGCTCCCAACCACTGAGCCATCTCTCCAGCCCCCCAGACAATGTCACTTTGAAGTGACGAGAAAACCTGGAGATTGACGTATGGTGGTGATTGTTATTCAACAATGTGTGTAGTATACTTAAAGACACTGAATCGAACACTCTTCCAATGGTGTTTCCTCCAGTGGAGTCTCACTAGGTATATTCGCCAAACTTCAGGGTAGGCCCCATGCCTAGCAGTAGTTGGCCAACATAAAGAAAATTAATTTATCTTGTTGATCTTTTGGTTATGTATTTTGGGTTTCATTTTTTGTGTTTTTGGGTGGTAGTTTACATATGTTTCATTGTTCTTTAACGAGAGAGAGAGAGAGAAAGGGCATGCATTAATTTGGCTGGTGGGAGGTGGGAAGGATCTGAAAAGTTTAGGGGATGAGAAAGTGTGATCAGATATATTGTATGAAAATGTTTTTTTCAATTAAAGGTTTTAAAAAAGCAGTATATGTATGTATATATATACATGCATACATTCATATGGAGGATAGCAACGTGTAAGGCCATGAATTACCTGGATCAGGCTATTTCTCTGACTTTATTACCTCTGTAGGATCTTCACCACTAAAATCTAGAGAAGGTCTTCCCCGAGATTTTCAGGGGTCACTTTCCACTTCAATATTGTATTTGACTCCTAAGAGAGGCTTTATTTGACGCCCTGTTCGAAACAGCCTTCCCACCACTCCTTAGTCCGTGTCCTGTTCCTTTTCTCATCCAGCATGCCAGTGTTGTTTGCTC